CATTATATTCTTGTATCCAATAATCAATACAAAAGCAAAAATTGGAGAGTATATATAAGTTGAGATAGTCAATCATTACAAATTTTTTATTGTTTATTATAAGTTTAATCACTTGAATTTTTAAGTCTCAACTAGCTCTTGAATCTAAAGCAATACAAAAATGAAGTTCAAAGGACTTGATGTTGTTGGAGCTATAACCTAGAATATTTCCTAGTTTGACAACAATTTTTGAAACTATGGAAAGAAATTCTTTTAGAATATTTTTTAATACAATCCAGATAAAAGATCTTAAATAAGCTCAAATAAAAAAATCATTTTAGGCTCTACATGGCTCTTAGATCAAAGTATAGATCTCATGATTATTCAAGCTTAGAATTCTATGGAAAAAAGATAAAAATCCTTTAACACACTTTTTTTTAGATTATTTTTAAATTAATATATTTTTAATCTAATATTTTTTTAAAAGAGAGTGTGCTTTTGATTTCTTGTTCCTAGCTTGCTTTCTAGATCTTGAAACAAACATTGGTAGTCTTACTACTTGCAAAGCATGTGATAATGGTTTTACATCAATTTCTTTTAAATTCCTATCTTAAAAGTTTTTGGTCAACTTCAATTTTTTAATGTTTAATATAAATGAATGGACTAGCAAATTCATTAGTGCTTCAATATTTTATAACGGTTTAGACCTTGTAGCAATTCATTAGTACTTCAATATTTTATACCTTATCACAACCTCCATTGCATATAATTGCTCTATCTTTTCTCTTATTCATTAACTATTTTTGTTTTAAAGTATCTCAATAAATAAAAAATGTAGGAAGAAACTCAACATTGATATTTGATACCACAAACCATAGTCTATTAACTTTGATTAAATTATGTGTTTGGTACTTTGTAAGAGACTTAAGATATTTTTTTATTTCAATTGTATTATTGTGATACTATTTAAAATGTGTGTTATTATAAAATTTAATTTTTACTTCTTATATGAGAATATAAGATCCATTTCTATGACATATTACTTTTAAAGAAAGCAAGAGAGTCCAATGCTAATATGTCTATATATTTTGTATTTTCAATATTTTAGTTAAAAAACTTGTTAAACTATTTATAATTTTCTAAACTCACTTGTATTAATAAATTTTTGATATAATTATAATATATTTTTTATTTCTTTTCTTTTAAAGATAGTATTTAAAGAAATATTTGTTATTTTATTTTTCTATTAAAATTATTGAAGTTGAAACATTACATTTTTTTGGTCTTAATATAGCTTTTAGTATACTTGTACTTAATATTAAAATATTTATTTCTATAAAAGCACAATCATTAAAGCAAAGATTATAAAAATAAAGTAATATGTGAGCCAAAATAAACCCCCTTAGATGAGGTGGCTTAAATTCCTCTCACAAGTTAATTAAATTAAATTTCTTAAGTTGAATGATAAATATCCATGCGTTTTTTTTTTTTTTTTTTTTTTTTTTCCAGTCCAAACATCTAATTGACTTATTTCTAAAATGATAAAACAACATTAAAAGTTAAAGATCAATAATTAAGGCAAGGATAAAAAAAATAAAAATTAAATTAAATATGAAGTAACATAAGGATTAAAAGTTGAAGGTAAAAAATAAAATCAAAGTAAAGGTTAAATTAAAAATAAAATAACATAAAAGTTAAAAGATGAAAATAAAAAGATAAAATTAAAGTTAAAATGAAGTAAAAATTGAAATAAAAAAAGTTTAAAAATTGAAAGTAGAAAGGTAATTGGAAGTTAAAAATTAACAATAATTACCAAGATAAGGTAAAAGATTCAATTAATGTAGTATTAATTTAAGGTAATAAGATAAGTGAAGAATTAATCCAGCAATTCATATACTAAAAAGTGTAATTAAGACGTGATTAAAGAAGAAAAGCTTACCTTCATCATGCCAAATTGAAGTAGCAACCCTTACCAATTGAAAATCTGTCAAAATCCTATTTAACTCCTATGTGTGTGAGTTATCAGATTTGCTTCACTTGGATGAGCTCCTATCCTCTAATATTTTGCAATATTTTAGTATGTAATGGTTGAGATGTGATTTTTCAAAGTTGGGCTCCCAGAACTGCTGGGGCAACAGATCCCCTTGCACTTAAAAATTCACTAATAATTCATAAAAGCTTCAAAAATTCCAACTTAAATTTTTCTTAGAACTAGACCTCAAAATGTTTCTATTACAATAATTTTCACAAAATATCTCTAACAAGAATTGTGCTATGAAATTCCAAGCTAACTCTATTGTAGTGCCCTTGTACCATCCGGCAATGGACCTCTTTTTACTCAAAAATTCATAAAATATTCATAAAAGCTTCAAAAATTCCAATTTTTCTTAGAAACTAGACTTCTAAGTGCAACAACACAATAAATCACTTAGGAAGCAAGATAGAGATCACCAAGCACCAATTTTTTGAAGTTGGTAGTTTCTTGTAGCCAAGGCAATGTACCCTTCTTCACTTGAAAATTTGCCAACAATTCATTAGAGCTCCAAATAATAAGTGCTTAATGTCCCTAGAAAGCTAGTAAGTAGACGAAGGTGGCCATGAAATATTGAAAAAGATAAAAATAAATAAATAAATAAATAAAATGAAGCAATTGGGAGGCGGAAATCTAAGCAGTTACAAAATAGGAGGAGTTTTTATTGAATTAGAAGCAAGGAGGAGAGAAAAAAATTGGCATGGCTTCATCCTACAAGAAAAAGAAAGAGAGGGAGAAGTGGCTGCCCAATGCCACTTTAACCTAGTGGGAGAAGGCCCTTAGGTGGCAACCACAACTCCACCATCCAGATCCAAAATCTCTAACCAAGATCAAGGATTTACAATAACCCTAAATCTGAATCCGATTTCAAGGCTGAAAATGCTTATACCTCAAAAATTAATACATTTTTGGCAAAACTAACACCACCAATGTCTCCAAAATACATTTTTATCCTAAGATTGACTACTCACAAGCCCAAATCCGAGTTCTAAATCATTAAAATCTATTAATTTGCTAATCTAGTTGTAAACTTTAACCATAATTTTAATTCTAATTAGCCTACTTGGGAGATCAGCAATGGTTCTTACCATCAAGGCCATCATAATCACCATTCTTCAATTTAAACTCCTCTAAGCACAAACTCTTGGCAATTTAAAATCCCAATTGCAATTCAGCCTTGAATTAATATGCTGTTGATTTTTATTTTTTTCTTTCTTTTTGTTTTCTTAACTTCAGATAGTGATTAAAATCACTAAGAGAGGAAACTCTACCACAAAGAATAGCTCATCTCTATCTTCTAAAGATTATCATTAATTTAATAATTAAATTTTATATTTTTGATCTATTTCAAATTACAAAATAGAATTTAAACTTCAAAATCTTGAAATTAATTGAGAAGATAGAGTAATTAGGTTTGAGGGATTTCTAACCATAGTCAAATTAGAGATTAGCCTTAGGATTGAACATTAAGATTGTTGATTAATTCAAGATATTATTCCTACGAATTAGAGGAGAAATTCTACTAAAATATTAGTTTTAGCACTAAAAGGAAATTTAAAACAAATCAAGAAAAAAATAAAATAAAAATCATAGACCTTCTAAATTTTCTATTTTTATAATTTTTAATAATTAGTCAATCTAATAATTAGAAGTATCCACCTAATTATCAATCTAAAAATACAATAAAAATAATCATTAATTAAAAAACTAATTTGGATCCATTAGTTAATCATTTTAGCATTAAAATTAATAAAAATATGTTTAAAATCACAAAAAAATTATAACTAACCATTGGAGCTATTAATTGTGATCACATGATGTTTTAATACTCAAACATCATATTATTTTATTCATAATATATCAACCATACTAATTTGTAAATATATACCTAAACAAAGTATGTAGATTAGCTACAAATTTTCAACCTTGATGTTAAATTTCATATCAACCACATAGATATTCAATCATGATTTTTTAGAATAATATTTACTATGTTGTAAACACTACTACAATAATATATATATATATATATATATATATATATATACATATATATATTTTGAATCATAAAATTACTTGTACAATAATTGATATTATTTAATATCAATGTTTTAGTTTATTATGTTGTTACTATATATTTTTAATGTAGTTTTAAAAAAAAATTAAAAACAAAAAATATGTAGTAAAGAAGAGCTAATTTTGGATGCAATAAACAATACAAATATTAATAAAATTAAGATTTTTTATTGACTAAAATTATATCTTTACTTTTATTAAGGAAAGAACTAGCAATTGTTTAAAGAAGTTGTTTCAAAGTAAGAAAGTAATTACCATAGTCTATGTGAAGCCCTAATAGAATTTCAAAGTAGAAGATGTCTTTAAAATCAAAACCAAATTCAACTATAATTCACCATTTATTTATTTGTACTAAAAAAGTACTAATATTTGTTATAAAAAAAAAATGTACAAAAAAAACCTTTATATAAATAATAATTGTTGTCTTACTTCCACTTCACTTAATTTGAAATCCAAATATGTTTTGTTTGTTTGTTTGTTTGTTTGTTTGTTTTTTTAAATAACTAAATAAAGCTCTTAATAAAAAATGCAAGTTTCCATTGAATTGTTAAAAAAATTGCTTTAAAATATATCTTTAGTTTAATTTCAAAACATATTTGATAAAATTTCAAGTTTTAATATGTTAACAATCAATGATACATTAACTTGTATTGCTTTTCTTCATTACAAATTAGCACCTATTAGCATTATTTAATTTAATTTGCATATTCTAATCATTGTTGCTGTTATCATCATTACATCTAATTTCTCAAATCCTAGTCATTCTATATAACTCATGATCAAAAAGAAAGCGAGAATAAGCCCATTATCATTCAAAGATTTGAAGCATTACTACTCTCGCCCTAAAACCCTGATCCCAAGCGGGAGAGCATGTTCTCTAACCCTAACCCTAAAAATGGAGCGAGCAAGAGAGAGGGAGAGACAGAGAGCGACAACGTCGCGATTCGGAGCTCCGAAAGACCAGCACATCGATCAGTCACATTTTCACACAACGATGAGGGTGTGCACGAGAGCGAGAGAGTTACTGTGATCAGACGTAAGGACTTCTTGGGTATCTCTCTACGCCACTCTCTACGCCACTCTCGAAAGCTCGGAAGATAACATGTGCGCAGAGGGTTTACAGTTTGTGCTGTAGGGCGCAGGGTCTTAAATTCCCACCGAATTTGTTGCTTGCCTTTTGAGGAATTTGAGACGATGAAGGGGGAGGAACCTGTGGCCGCAGACGACGGTGTTGAGTCCAACAAGCAAGAGGTGTCTGGCGTTGGAGGAGACTCTGCTGTAGGTTCAGAAGGGGTGTCGCTGCCTCTCACTGTGGATGTGATGGAAGGCAAGAGTGGCGTAGAGAGTGGTTGGTTTCCACGGGCCAATGAATTGCCGTTGCGGCCACCGCGTGCCATTGAGTCCAATTTCACGCATTGGGTTGCACTTGGTAGGTGCTGTTCCTTGTTTGTTTGTTTGTCTGTTTTTGTTTTTGTTTTTTTGTTTTTTTTTGTTTTTTGTTTTTATTTTTGAGTTCTTAAGATTTTTCTTCTGCTTCTTGTTCGTGGATTCAGTACATATGAATTGAATTCTCAGCTTGATCCTGTAAGCTACGGCAGACCTGTTTCTCATCATGAATTCATTAGTATTATGCTCGAGATATGCCGTTGCAATTCTCATTTAAAAAAATATTCACTGGGTTCTGGATATCGCTGTCTAGTAAATGAATCGAGGTGCCCTGGAATTCGAGGATTTGTATGTTGTAATGGGGGCGAGTATAGATTCCGTTAAATGGTGCTTACAAGGGTATGGTCATGGGTGGATGGTGCAGACGTGGGGAAGGAGTTTCATGATCAGTACATCTACAGGCATGGCAATGGGTATGCTCTCATGGATGTAGTTCTCTTTGTCTACCCGTTTAGAATGTGCGTTGGCTGGGTACATACAGCAACGTTTACCAAGGAAGTCGTGTCTATTGTTGTTTGCTTGTCTAGTGATTACCGGGAACAATTAATCAAACGACTCTGAAGTTATTTGAAGACATACGTGGGATTTTTGCTGAGAATGTCGCTTTTCTATGCAATCTTTTGAATTGCCGCCTTCCCCTGCGCCTCATTTTAATATATGCTTAGCTCATGTGCTTTATTTCTTAATTGGTTCTGATTCTTCTTTTGTTTAAATGTAGCACTATTTATTATGAGTAATTGTTTGTGAAGGCCTTGGCTGAGAAGCGTTACCATTTAGTCCCAATGAAGTGTGTGATTGTTAAATGCGCATCCACAAGTCACTCCTTTGGTGAGGGTACCTCAGCTCCAAATCAATGCTTGCTCCTTTCATGAGCTTGTGTTGACTTGTGAGCTGCAACGTCCCTCGTTCTTTTGCTTACATTAAGGGTAGTATTGGTTTTTGTTTGCATTCTTACCGGTTTCTGATCGTCTATCAATCTTTGTATCAAGGTGCGTCAGTCGTTGGATCAAATTGATTTCTACTGTAATTTGATAGTGGAGAGTTGATCATAAATTGCCGCCTGAGAAATTTGAACTTGAACAATGACACGGGATTTTAAACATGTGCAGGTTGTGTGTGATAGGTTTACTGCCAACCCATGCTGCTTTCAAGCCAACACCGGCAGTAACAGCTGTTGATTTCAATGTCGGCAAGCAGAACCGTGCTGATGCTAAAGTATCTGGAAAACGAAAGCGGGTAATTTCACATTTGAAGCATCTTCGTTGTGACCTTAATTTGTTTATTTATTTCTTTCTTCTTGTTTCGTTTTTGGTGTGTAAACTGAGCAGTCGTGTTTGGTCAGGTGTCACTGGTAAAATGCCTTGTGATATGCATATCTTCACTAAATCTTTCGTCGTTTTTTTCCTCCTCTTTGTGTTATGTTCTGGAGTAGCTTTGTGAATATCATAGGTTTTTAGTATGAATTGTGGTGCCCAACAAGAACCCTTCTATTCTCACTATTTTTTTGCTTCATTTTCAGAATGCAATTTTGCTACACCCGGACTCGGTGCTTTGCAAAGTCATGGTTGGGGAGGTGTTTTATTTGATCAGGTTTATTCCTAAAAAGCTCTTCACAAATACTTTGTGCTTTTTGCGATTTGTTATTTTTCTCATTTCTCATGGGTTGAAGTCAATTGATTGAAAGCAGGTGTTGTGTCAGAGGGGTCATGTTGGAAGTAAATGAACGACTTATCAAGGAACCTACTTTGCTAAACACGAGGGTGAGAAACCTTATTTCTGAACGCTCTTTCTTTACATTTCATTGTCAATCTTAGATGTTGTATCCATTTCTGTCGGGAGAGCTAGTGGTTTGGGTTATCACGAACTCTGGGAACTTTCTCATTCGATTGTGTTGAAAACTGGTCTGGTTCTCAAATGGACAACACCAGAACAGGACCTCAGCCTACTCGGGAGAATGAGTTCTATCAACTGGGAACTGAATGATATCTGCAGTTGTAACCTTGGGCTAGCTCTTCTTTCCTAACTGTGTCTTGACCTCTGCTCAGGCGGACACAGAGGGCCACATTGGAATTATGATGCCATCATCAGAGGACTGGTCGAGAGCATGCAAAACCTTCCTCACGATGGATCAGTACAAGGCGCGGCGTGGGATAGTGTAGGGGTCTGCAATCCCTTCTTTGAACATTGTTAGGTTATAGAGTGCTCGTGCTGATGGTGTGCGAGAAGCATCCTCCAATTGTAAGGATTAAGAGGGTATGGATGTATTTTGAAAGTTTTGTTACTTGCTGAGTAACAAAACTTTTTTAGTAGCCTTTGTACTTGAAATACCTGTGTTACCTGTGGGTTAGGCGGTATTGCTTCTCAGAGTAGTTAATTTGGACATACTGTTCTGATTATTCCCATCTGAATTTTAAATCAACTTTCATTAATTTAAACACACCTCAAATTTTTAAAATTGGTAAGGAATTCTGAAATGCTAAAACCCAGTCTTCGTAAGGTATGCCTGGGTTTTCGAGCCTTCTCTCCTATCTTCACAATACATTCGAATGCTCAGCTCTGTCCCGTCTTGCATCTCAACTTTTTTGATAACCTTGTCTTAGATTTAAGCTGGCTGACATTCGTCTCATGAAGTGTATGTGCTCTTTAAGTTCATGACCTGGGATCCTCGGAAACTCCTTTAAGGCCATGGCTGCTACCGAGAATATCGCTTGGCACTTTCCCCGAGGCTAGAACTTACCGTTGACATGCTCTTTCTTTGTGTGCTCCAACCCTCTGCTTTGAACTTTCGACACCTTTTATACTGTGGATCTTCAACAGTGCTACCAAATACTGTTTGCATATCCAGGAATCTCTGCTAGGCATAACGCGTCATGGATCTCCGAATAAGATTCTTGAAGAACGGCTCTTCATTGGAGTTACTCAAAGCATGAAAAATAGCAAGTCGTTGTTAGACTGGACATTGACCAAGATTTTGAAGCATTTTCGGGATTTCCCCCTTCGATTCTTCAATAGTACTTAGTCCAATTAATCTGCGACAGTCGCTTGCTGAATGGAAACTCTGCAGTTTATTCCAATCCTTTTTCCAGGCTGGCATTTGAAAATTATGTACCATGCTGTTATTCTGGACATAATATGATTGGTCATGCATAATTTTACAGGAATTCCTGCCTTTATTTTTGAAGAAAGCTGCATAACAATGCCTGCATTTTCTCATGGTGCCTCCTTGACACAGGAACCATTCCAAGGAACCTGCATCAGTACCAACTGATCCAAGAGTAAAAGTCTCTTGCCTTGGAGCTCAAGATGGCACAGTTTCATTTAACATAGGCACAACTTAATTGTGGGGGGTGAAGCTCAGGTGTGAAAAGGAGACAAAATGTCCAAATCTTTGCATTTTTGAGCTTGGATTATGTGCCATGTCCTTGCATACCAAGGCAAACTCCAGAATAGACTGGTAGATGTGGAGACAGGGCTTTGGTTTACTGCTATGAATTAGGAATTTTGATTGTATATATATATATATATATATATACATATGGAGGAATATTAAATAGACCCTAGTTTTTACAAAATTGATCCACTCATCATGAAAAGCAAAAAAAGTCCTAAAGATTTATTACTCCACTGTTGGATCTCCAGCCAGTAAAAACCAACCACATTCATCAATTACCATATTCTTCATCAAGAGTGGGTCTATTTAATATATTATTCTTCTTTTTTTTGTGCTCATATTTCTATGTATTTATAACAATTTGACTTTTTTTAAATCCCATTCCTTTTTCATTGGTCTTGTTCCTAAACACCATACTTCCAGTTTAAAGAGTAGGCAAGAATCAAAAACCTTTCTGCCGAACCCCTTTTATTCAAATATAAGATGCAGATATTATCAAATCCTTTGCACAACTTTTAAGCTGCACATGAGAAAGCTTTTTGTAGCATACCACCAAATGATGAAAACCACAACACAAGTCAACATGCAAGCACCTTTATGTTTGACCAAAAAACTGAGAAATAAAATGATCAATTAATGAGCAAGAAAGACATTACAATTAAGTTGGAATAACATGCTATTAATGAATGTTGACTGTTTTGGGCGTGTAGGCAAAGTTAGATGCCATCATATGTATTTATGAATGTGTATGTATATATATAGATAGAGAGAGAAATGTTGTGGTGTTGAGTGCAAAAGTAGTTTATATTAACTTCACAACTGTTTTGTTGGGAAAGAGTTCATTTTATTTTGAAATATTTTACAAGGTGCTACTACTACCAAGATAACATCTAGGGAACATATCAAATGTACTTGACTTAGTACTTTAATGCATAAAATAAAAATCAATCTTGCTTGTGAAAGGGATATTTTATATCCTTTATCAATCAGAAAGGTGAATGGTTCTTACTGTTTTAATTTGGCTTGTTTATGCTGTCATGAAGTTACAAAATATGATTAGTAAAATGTAGACTTGGAAAATATTTTAAGATTATTCTTGGTTTATGGGCTTGTGATAAAACACCATGGCAATGACTAATTGTAGATGCTTATCTAAGGGTTCCTATGTGAATGTTCAAAATATATATATGAAAATAAATTTTGAAGGAATCATTTTTACTTTTCGACTTTGTGTTATGGCAATTACTTATATGCATCTATGTACCATAAATGGTTATTTTGTCCGAGGAAAAGGAAAAATAAAGGTATTTGAAGTAATAACCTTAAGAAAATTGATTCAAATTAAGTCATATTGTGATAAAATTCAAAGTAAGTTATATTTTAAATACTATGTGTAGATAGAATGATTGTTGAATCACAATTATTTTATAATAGATTATTAATCTAGTTGCTTGGATTCTATATCAAATTTGAACAATTTTGAGGAAATGTACAAAGCAAAATTATCCTTAAAAGATGTGCTAGGATTTGTAGTAATGACCCAACTTGACCTCACTATGCTTTGTGGAATATTTCCCAATCTTCTCCTTTCAAATGTCCAAATAAGCAATCAAAACAGGGATCACGAAGCTTTTTTGAATTCAATGCCTTCTTTTCTTGTTTGTAGAAGTCAATTAGAAAAAATTCATGCCAAAAGTAAGACTGAAAGATATTCTTTCCTATTTAAACCTGATATTTGTGAGAATCTGTATTTTATATTTAATATGCGTAGCCAATTAATGTTTGTACACTTGAATATTTTAAAAGTAAAACTTATTTAGAATTATCATTTGTGCAATTGTAGTGGTGATTATTTCACCATTTTAAGAAGTTGTAATAGTGTCTGTCTGAAATGGTTAATGAGTTTAAGAAAAACTGTAATTCATTGGTAGGTCTTGGAAGGCTGTAACAATGTATCCAATGATTTTTTTGCTGCATGAGTATTTCTTTGGACGATGTTAATCCCAGAGTCTAAAGCACCATAGTTACAGTTCTGAGTTATTGTAATCTTGTTCTTTAATATTTTAAAGAAATTTTTGAGTACAATTATATCTTAGTTTTTCTAATTCGGAAAACAAAGTGCAAAGTTGCAAAAAATTAGTAAAACAAGAAACATAATGTTTTGTAAACTTGATAATTCGGTTCTGAAATTGAAGATAAGATATATATATATATATATATATATATAAATTGATAAGATAAATAATTTGATGTTTGATACATTTTATTCAAAATAATCTTAAAGCTTTGATATCATTTTTTCTACAATATTATTTGCAATATGATTTTGTTGTATATATATGTTTTACCTATAGTTGTTATGATCTATTATTATTTCCCTTTTTTATATTTGTAGGGAATTGTTAAATTGACCCACGCATTTACTAAAATGACCCACCCATTATCAATTGGTAAATACTTGGGTCAATTTAACAATTCCCTATTTATAATGCCATGAGTAAATGCATGTCAGAAAGATTCTTAAAATTATGTTGATGTCAATTCAAAATAATTTAACAAATAGATCAAAACATGAATGAGATTATCAAAAACTTCCCACAATTGTGATATCAGTAAAATGGTATTTTAGATTTATGCGTAACCTGTATGCAACTCAATAACATTTCAATGGCTATTTATAGAAAACTCTCTTCGTGACACAGTTCGGATGGAAAACATCCACGACCATGAGACGTAGGCGCCTCATGGATGAATGGTCCAGGCTACCCGCCATCGGCTGCACAGTTACGAATTCCTGGGGATGCGGCATCGCTTTCTAACGAAGGTGCGACGGTGGAATTGGAGTTCGAATTCGGAGTCGAAAATCCAAACTGGCTATAGGAGATTTTTGGCCACCATAGCCACCGTGGTTGCGATTCTGATCGTGAAAAGCATCCTTCTCGGACTGCCCTTTCAAAGTTACTCGCTGGATCAATGGCGAATTTACTCTGATGCAGATAGTTTGGTTGCACTTGGCCTTCCATAGCTGTGAATGTTGGTGCCGGTCATCGATAATGGCCGTTGCCGAGACGCTGTGGCCGCCTTCGCTGGATGAGGTACGTGATGTCCTCGCAGCTGTGTGCAGGTTTTGTCAGTGGACTAGTCTAGTCAGGTTTAGGTCGGAACGAATCAGTGAATTCCGGAATTAATTGGACTGTTTGCATCTCCAGGGACTCTAACGTCGCGACAGAAGAATGCAACCATGCTCCAAGCATGGCTGGCTCGCATTGAGTTTCCGAATGTTAGAGTTCGAGTATGATCCTGAAGGGCGGGGTTCATTATCTGTAGCACACCGTGGTAATTTCCACATTCACAGTATATCTGACTGGATGTTGTTCGATCTCTCACGTACAATTGTGCGCACGAATCCTGTGGATTGGTCGAGGTTCCCATGCTCGTTAATCTTCGACAGTAGCTCTGACGCGCCCGTGGTAGAAAGCGTCACTGGTCCCACTGTGGAGATGAAATGACTGAAGTCCATCCGTGAGCAGTACCCGCGGCACGCTTGGTCCTCGCAACGGGCACTCCGCACATGGGACTATGTAAGTACCGCAGATTGACTAGCAGTTTTGCATTTGTCTCGAATCCCAATCGTAGCCACAGCTGGAGCGCTTCCCTGGGCCTTTACGGTCGAAGTGTCGGATACGACGTCGCGCTTTATCAATCGCCTTGGAAAAGCTGGCAGCGGTTGCACGTTGGCGCTGTCAGGAACCAGTTGTCGGAGTAGTTTCTAGCAGCATGGAGCTTACCTGCAGATAATGACTCTGTTTATTGTGTCAGTGCAGTCTTCAAGTGCTAGTTCTTTGTTGAATGTTGAATCCGGCCGTACTCCCGGGATCCTTTGCAACCTGACAAAAACTCTGAACCTGGAGGGCATGCATTCGTCGTTTCATGTTTCCGAACTGATCACGGAAATGGTCGTGAGCTTTTGTTTCTAATTTTGTAGCAACTTCTTCAATTCCAGTAGCCTCTGGAGAATTGTCGTTTTTAGCAGGATGATCATTGCAAGCCAGTAGTCGAAAAAAAGTGGGAGCCGCGATGTGGCCTTGTTGGAGGTGAAGAAGAGAGTTTCATTTTTGCTGAGCATCAGCGTAGGCAGCTACTTAAGGATAGAACATTGACGGATATAGAGGTGTGCCTTTAAGATGGGGATGGGAGGAGATATGGTATGATCGTAGGGTCTTCGAGTTTTAGTTTCAATGTTCTGGCGTCGAAAAAATGCTGGGGGCAGGTTTAGATTCATTTTGATGTTCAGGGCTTTCATAGCTGCCTTAGAATGTGTAGTCGGCTAATCGTTTTGCGTCGTGTGCGCTTTTCTCTTTGAGTTGATCGCCTTTGAGTTAACCTCGTTCATGTACATCCAAATTTTCAATGGTCATCATCTCGAACTGGACGTTGGCTTCGTGATTAAGAGGAGCAAGTGGCGATGTGGGAGTGCAAGAGACATCCCTCGGAATCCCAACCTGGTGGTGGAGTCTGTGCCAGCTGCTTAGAGGAGAGACTCGTATGTTTATGGAGAGGTGATAGCTTTAGTCTTGGGGACAAATCCCTGGCGCCATCAATTGCCGCCTCAGGGTCTCTGCAGTCTGAATCACAGAAGAGTGATGCTCAGCAATTTACTTCAATAAGGACTGGGGGTTCTTCGGGCAGTGTGAGGAAAGATCTTCAAGCAAATGAAGAGGAGAAATTTAGCGAGATTTTGTCACAGGTTTCAAAAGACATCATAAACGACATGCAGAAAGATGTTGGAGCTTTGAGTCAATCAATAGTGATGCCTTTAAACGTCGACACTATGGATGGTGGTAAAAGCGAGGTGGCTCTCAAAAATGTGGGAGCCCCTAATCTGCATAAGCAGAATTCCTCGATAGACTCCGTCATGGTAGAATGGACAGCGTTTCACGCAAGACGACGCAGGAATTTGAGTTTGGAGTTCGATTCTCTGAAGGCCATGAGTAGGAGCTTCGACTCCGCAGAGCCCAAGCCTTCCGTTGAAGTAATCATGGCCAGCGAGAATGTGCGTCGCATGCCAATCGAATCTAACCCTCGAGTAACTATCTTGAAGGAGCAAAAAATGCGGTCCCGGTCGATGCCGCTAGAGAACAGGAGCGCCGAAGAAACAGCTCTTCGTGTAATCCGAGAATGTCAGGCTGACAACCTCTACTCCGACGACCGTGACTATTTCGCTATTATCGAAGCCGTGCAAGACCGCGATGGCGATGGTTGTGGCGGCATGGGGAGCTTACAGAGCAATATGGCAGAACAGGGCTGCTTCAGCCCAAAGTGGCAAAATAGTCCTAAATGGGTGCAGGTGCTTGCAAGTCCAATAACTTCGAGAAATCGAGTGTTCCCGACCCGATCCAAGGAAGATATTCGCAAAGGAAAGAGCTCCAGGAAACGGCTTACGCGATTTGCTTCTTCCGATTGGAGTCACAAAGACGCTAATGGTGCGGAAGTGTCGCCGCACTGGCTGAATGAAGCTAAGACCAGCCCTAGGACCACCAGACGCAGATCTCCATTCTCATGGCTACAGGTACATGTCTTATTCAGCACATTCTAGGGTATTGCGGGATGTAGAACTGAGTGCTGTGAATTTTGCAATTGAATGAGCGGCAACAAAAATGCTTAAGACAACGTGCAAATTATCCCTTTCTGATTACCCAATTGTCTATGTTGCGATTTATCAGCAGGATACAGACAAGTCACGACTCAAGAAGCAGAATGAATCGGATCAGCTCTCATTGTCGTTTTCATCATTTGCAATAACTCAATTGGGAAGAACGGATTCGTGGGTTAAGGATCTAGCCACGGTGGGGCACTTGCACGGGATTGCCGAAGAGCATGAGGTCGTTAGTGAAGAGGAGGAAGTGGACAATTTGGAAGACATCAACTCCTTTGGAAAATTTCTTCTGATTGCTGCCAAGAGAGAACCCAAGGCAGGTCTCACGCGGGTTTCAAGTGCAGTCTTCTAATCCTCAAATGGCACTACTAACCTTTGCACCATTAATCCTTGCCCCTTGTCGAATACTTAATGGGTCATGGGGTGAACTGAAGCCCCTAAGTTGTAGAATACTGTGAAAAGAGCATCAATTAGACACGTCAATTTAATTGTCAATACCTTGAGAGCTACCATGCTCTTTGGGCTGCCATGGGCGCAGATGAAGATCTGGCACCCATTCGATAGAGTTGTATTTGATACTAATATTTGCGAATGAATACATCGTGGTGCTTTGAAGATAGTCTCCTGCTCCATATGATTGCTGAAAACGCCACTCTTGCTTCGATTTGATCACTTCATGCGATGAAGACGTAGTGATTGTTCACTTCCTCAAATGATTGTAAGCCATAAGAAACACATGTTTTGCAGATAACAGGGCACAACTCCGCGTTAACAAAACATCTGCTCACTGAAAACGATGCCGAACGTTTTCTATCTGGAAGCAACTCTAAACTTGGTGAGGAATCAGAAGTATTCGTAAGTACTCATACTGACTGCAGCAAAATAGCTATGATTCAAAAAATCAAAGTTCGAATTCATGTTTATTACTAAGCCGTCTTTATACGCGAGATTAAAAAGACTGTGCTGCCAGTATTCTGCGTTCAACAATAAGCAAGATTGCAATTCATGTCCGAACCTCTCCTTACTGCTAAATAATACCATTCCTCACTAAAATGGAACAGCATTCAGTCCCAGCCCCTCATGCTAACTTCGTAAACAACAGCGGAGCTTCTCTGAATGGTTTTTCTCGGTGACTACAATGTACAAAGATTTCTGGCAATGGATGCAAGCAAGTGGAGCGTTAGGCGTGCTTCTACGAAGTATTCCACCCGTGTGAGCGAGCAGCGCGCAGAAACGCCTCCCTCGCCTCGCTCTCCTGGTACTCCTGCCTCACCTTCATATCGAGTCTCCCCTCGCCCTCTAAAAACGCCATCACCACCTGCACAAGCAAGCTCTCAAAGTTGCAGGCGGGGCTCCATCCGCTAGCCGTGAGAAGCTCCATGCAAATACTCCCACCGATAGTGACATGCCCTGAGTACGTTTTGAATCTGGGGGACAAGACACGAACAAACGGCGGGTCGAAGGGAAATGTGGGATGAAACTTCACTTCGAGCTCGACAGTGATATCCTCGACGGAGTTGCGCAGCTTCTTGAGCTCCTTGAAGTCATTGTAGAGATTTTTGCTTTCTTTGAATAGATAAGGGTTGAGGGAAATCCGCCAGAGGCAGAGGTTGCTCTCGTCGGGGATGGAGACAGTGGTTCCAGAGAGCATCGGCGCAGGGTCGTCCCTATGGATTAAGCATTCGATAGGAGGCGACATCGCAATGGCACTCAAAAGGTTCTTGTACTCCTGCATCACTGCCCGAGGCGCCGAGGTGCTTGAATTGGGCGCTGTGCTGGTTTTTGGTCTCTTTGTCCTCATCATGGTGGTCGCTGCAGCATCAAATTTCTCCGCTGATCGTCTTTGTATCAGATCAAAGCTGTTCTTCGACGGGAAAGGTGACGGTGGAGGTGCATTAATGTCAATGCCTTGGCTCTTGGCAGCAATGGCACGTAAGATTCCACGGCGAGCCCACATGCGGGCCTCCTGTTGTAAGGAACAAGTCTCTACGTAAGACCGCAGAAGCTGCTGATAGTGGAGAAGGAGATCAACTTGTGAACCTGACAACATGCATCCATCAATCTCGAACGATGCAAAGCTTCGCATGCTTCGCGGCTTGAACACCAAAAAGTACCTGATCGCTACATCGCGCTCATTTTCACGGGGAATCACAAGAATTTTGCCTTCGAATTGTCTCGACGAAGACGGGACCCCGGTGTTGGATCGTGCACTGCCGTTCACAACTTCACAGATTGCAACACAACGAAACCCGTCCTTGAGCACACTCTGTTCCCTAGATAATCCATTCCTCGCATAGCCGATAGAGGTGCTAAGATTGGTGGCCAGGTAGATGCCCTCGCCGTGAGCAGCTCCAGTGGACATGAACGCAGTGTCACTCATACTCCGAAGCCCGTTTCGAAGAATGGAGTACCAATTCTCCGCAGAGCTGCCGTGGTATGCAAAGAAAGATCCGTTCGCCTCCTCCCGCCGCCTGATGAAACGTGCTTCTCTCTCGGGTGAGTCGTGAAGTACAGCGAACTGATACATTGTCACCGAATTCTCGGCGTGCAAATCCTTTGGCTCCATATTTAGCTTCATCTTGGACTTCATCATCGGATGGAAACCCACCCCTACTCCGTGCAAATTCTTTGGCGTCGTCTTCGGCTGGAGAACCTCCTCTTCTGATCTGAGCCGATAAAGAGACAGCCGGTTGGTCATGAGGATGAAGCGCATCACGTCGTAAGCCATCTTAGCCACCTTTCTCCACACCTCCACCATCTCTGCCTGGGATCCGCCCAATTGCGACCTGTGCATTGGACGCGGGCTTGGGTTTGCCTCGGCCATCTCGGGCGATACCTGAGCGACGACAGGGCCTCCGTGAGGCGCCCTCTTGTATCCATCGTATAGATAACAATACCAGGAACGAGTCAAAACTTTCTTCAAAGACCTCTCATCGGCACACTTCTGAATCTTATCTATGGGAGGAATGCTCGCCAGAATTTCCCTTAGCAGCTCAGAATTCTTATTACTCTTCAGCGGCTCAGATTCATCCATGTCCTCCAGGTCATCCCACATCTTCTGCGTCAGATTCGTCAACTTTGACGCAGATTCCCTTACAGTGTCGTTGCTGAACCAGCCGCTTCGTCCTCTGATCTCTTTATCCTGCAACAAAAAGGCGGGAAAGGGCTCAAAAACATCTCGAGCCGACTCCAGTGCCGTATGAGCAAGGGAGAGTTCCACTTCAACAAGCTCCGGAGAACTTTTCACTTCGTCAAGCACTGACACTCCCAAGCCCAGTTCCTCAAAGCGGTACAGACAGAGATCTTCATCACAAGTGCGCATGCGCGTGACAGAGCACGACAGCTTCTTCCAACAGATGAGACACCGGCCAGGTAGCAATCTCAATTGGTGGCAGATGGCCAACGCAAGGCCTATGAAAGGGTTCTTGTTGTTCACATTCTCATGAAGCCCCTCCATGTGCACATAATCCCCACTTGACTCTGATCCCTGACGATTCAGGACAGCAAAGAATCTGCTTGTGAGCTCCGGCAGCAGCACATCGAGGCCGTAGCTTCGGTGGCCAGCTCCATCCGATGCCTCTAGGAATCTGTCAATGTCATCTGGTTCGGCTATGCGGGCCTCGCTGATTCGGCTGAACTGAGTGGCATAAATGCGCTCATACTTAAGCATCTTAATTGATCGCAAGGTTGTCTCCGTCCACATATTCTTGGAGAATTCAAGGTTCAAAGAAACGGGCTCGTCTAACGTTAGACCAAGACCTGCTGCGATTCTCTCATCCACCATTCCCACTAAATCAAACTGCAGCTGTACTGTCAAGAGCGATGGTTTGGTTCCCACGCAGAACCACATTAATGGATTCTTGAGATCTCTTGATTTCTGAACTTGTACCGCTTCACATTGTCTTCTGGCATCCTCCACCAAATCCTGGAAGGACAACCGTTCCCGAATTTCATACTCGCTGGGACAAACTGTCCCAGCCTCATCCATAGCGATGCCGTGGCAATATGCCTCGACGTCGCCATCGTCATCACCGAGACAACCTTCCTCCAACTTGCGACATTTGGAATCGCTGTAATCACTCTGGTCATCACTCTCCTCCTCATCTGAAATTTCCCTGTCACGAATGTCCTCGTGCTCAACATGTTGGGAATTGCTGTCCTTGGATCCACCCTGGACTTCCAGCTTTTGCAGAGTCGCAAGAAGCAAGTCCAATACTCGGTGCAGTGCCTTTGGCTGGATGCTTATTTGTTCCAACCTTTCGCTCAGAGCCAACATAGATTCCTTCATCTTTCCGCTGATCTTCCCGTGGTGCAACAGCAAGAAGACCTCGCTACAGTTATCATCATTCAAGGTCGGCAAACCCAAATTGTGATACGTGGATGGTATCAGAATCTGGACTTTTCTCCCCTTTATCAGCAACGTGAGATCAGTGTCTGACGCTTCCCTTAGCTCGACGGACAGCACTCTGAGTACGCTTTCCTTGTCGCTAGCCCATATGCGGTACTCTTCCTCTATCCCCGCCATCTCTTGCTCTTAACTGTTCTTCTTGAATTAAAAAAATTCACTGTCACATCCGAGACGAGACAAATCTCCACTGCACCCCGAGCACACCTAGACCAAACAAACAAAATTAATAGTAACTCATTTGTACCCAAGCGATGAAAAACTTCGTTTGACTTCGACGTTTCTACGCCGACTAGGGTAAGTTGGATACATCGTCGTGAGTTTAAGTTCAGCAGATGTTTTGATTAAAACTGATGATCGTAAGAAGTGAAAGGTGATCGAGCAGAAGATATTCAGTGGTAAATATCATTCATTTTCTCCACAAGAGTGGGATGATGGTTGGAGATCGAACTTACCCAACAAGCAAGTCGCATTAATACTCACAATTGCGTGTTACCGCGTGTGGACTGCTGGTTACAGCGTTGTGTGGAACGCTTAAGGAACGTCGCTCGGCATCTAGGACTACGACGTCTACATATTCACGGTCTTTTGAACTTGTGAGACTAGCTTTCTCCCTTTCTCAACCATTCCAGCCTTCAAGAAGCCCTTTATCTGGCAACTAGAAATCTCTTTGTGAGTATCGAAGCCCCTTAAAAAGACGAGACCAACCACACAAAATTCCAGAGTTTCCTATAACAAGAACGGTTGGAAAGTAATGCTGTGTCGCAAACTTATCTGTTGCGGCTAATTTTATGCTTATTCTAAATAGCCTGGATAATGTGATACGTAATATGTGGAAAATTGATTCAAGTCATAACTTACTCAAATCATATAGAGATGGTAGTTGATGGTTCTTGTTATGTGATTTCACGATTGAGGAAGAGCTACTCTGATGAAAATTGTTGTGGATTTGGAATTCCAATTCTTCACTGCGAACCCCTCCCATAGCCCCAGTTTAGAGATCATCTCTCGCTGACTCCGCCTCGCCTCTTTCAACTTCAGTCACAGCTGCACACGCGCACAACGTCAAAGCACACCTTGTTATCCCCTTGCATTGCATCTTATGATTCCCTACGGTAAGAGTTTCCACAGGGGATCAAGACTCCAGCCTCCATGCCAGCAGCCTACCGACACATTGTTTACCTGTAATTGTGCGACGAGCACGTCAAGGATCTGCCAATTGCTGGACAAGCTATGCACACACAGGATCCTATCACAAAAGCCCTAAAGCAAACTTAAGGCCATCAGCCAGCAGGGCACGGCAGGATCCTTGCCTCGGTCGACTAAATCGCATGTCACATTCGTCGACTAAGCGTGTCACAATTGAACCACCACAATCGATCAGCTTGCTGATCTAGTTTCACGGCTCCTCACCTTATTCCCTTCCCACGCTCCCACTGACAATCCAGCCCCTGATTCATTATCATTCCATGCGTGGGGCGAGGCTCAAGCAACGCCGGCCATGGCAAACCCAATTCCCACTCAACACTCCATTGCGACCCCATTCTCTCCACACACAGAGCAACAAAACGCCCACCGACAGTACCCAATTTGGAAATGCTTGAGTACCTTTGAGGAGCAATTTCTACGAGAAGGCCACTTCAGCCACGCGCTTGATGATCGGAGGATTGCCTACCTTGCATTGAGGCTTGCGGGTCACTTACTACTAAACAAGCACTGCCGAAATCCCGCCAATACATGTGTATATTTAATATCTAAGTAAAAAAAGTAGATATATTCAGGAAAGTCTAACCACGCAGCAAAACGAAAACGCGAACTGGGAGCACCGTGAGTTCTAATACACACAACCCAACACCATAGGCTTTCCCTCCCCCACCTCCCCCTGTTTCTTTTCGGTGGCCTCTTTAGTTTGCAAAGTTTCAGGGGTACCGACAGTGGCGAAGGAAGGGGGCGGCGCATACGACGATGACGACGGAATGGACAAAAGTGGCTGTGGCGGAACGGGAGCAGACGGTCGTTGAAGAGGTGAATTTCTCGTCTACATTTGGACGAGTAAACGTACGGGGGCCGGACGGAGGAGTGAACTCGTTTTCGTCCGTCGATGAGCAGGCCGTCAAACGGGTTCGAAACAGTATCATGGACTGCATTAGATAGTGTTTCATTACACAGATCTCATTTTCTTTTTTTACATTTCTTTATCTTCTAAAGCGTTGTTTTCGAGTAGTCTCACTCTGCCTTGAAATAAGAGTCACACCCTACTCCACACATTGAATGTTATTACTGTAGTTATATGGTACAGATCTATCTGCTACTCAAATAGATAATGAGAGCTTTACAATTGTGGATTTACTTCAATTAAAAGATTCAATTAACTGCACATAAAAATGTCTTTCTTTGTAAATTTAGGTTGAAGATCCTTTGGTTCAATTTTAGTGGTTCTGTAGTAAAACTCTGCACATGGGATAAACAAGAGGAGACAAAATAGCCTTTTTGATTTGCTACATACCTCATTGTTTTTATTAAAAGTGAGCCAAAATTTGAGTTCATTTTTAACTCTCTTCAAGTTTGTCAACAATCATGGAGCAACTATTTTTTATTAATTCTTAACTATTTTCAAGTTAGCATCGATGTGTTAACTCTCTCTATGAAACTTGGCATGTTTAAATTTGTTTGTAGTCATCTCTTATTTAAAACAACTCAAGGGAGGACAAATATAGAATATAAACAAGAAGAGACAAAATAACCTTTTGATTTGCTACATGTCTCATTGTTTTTACTTAAAGTGAATCAAACCTTGAGTTCACTCTAAACTCTCTTCAAATTAGTCAATAGTCATAAGACAACTCTCTTTGTTAACTCTTAATTGTCTTCAAATTAGTCAATAGTCATAAGACAACTCTCTTTGTTAACTCTTAACTCTCTTCAAATTAGTCAATAGTCATAAGACAACTCTCTTTGTTAACTCTTAACTCTCTTCAAATTAGTCAATAATCACAAGGCAACTCTCTTTGTTAACTCTTAACTCTCTTCAAATTAGTCAATAATCACAAAACAACTCTCTTTGTTAATTCTTAGTTCTCTTTGAATTAGTTAATAGTCACAAGGCAACTCTCTTTGTTAATTCTTAGTTCTCTTTGAATTAGTTAATAGTCATGGAGTAACTTTCTTTGTTAACTCTTAACTCTCTTCAAATTAGTGTCAATGTATTAACTCTCTTGATGAAACTCAACTTGTTTAAACTTGGATATGGTCATAAACAATAAGAGTTCTTTATAAACCATCTCCATTACTGGACCTCATATGTTTGCTTCATTTTTAACTTGCTTCTTAATCGTCACAACTGATATTTGTATTTTGTAAGAAGAGTTTTTAGCTATGTGGTGACTAAGTGAGAGTTCACTCATTCTTTTGGCAACCTAAGCAGTGAATATGTAGTTCATTTGTATATGCACTTATGTGATGTTGCCAATTTTGATGAATCTTATATGCATGGATTGAATGGCGACTTTGATGTTTATGAGTGTACTTATGTGCAACTTAAGATATAGATGACATTTGATGTTAATCCTTCTTTTTAAATTTAAAGTTAGTTTTTATTTTGTAGTTTATGTGGTTTTTTCTTTTGTAAATAAATTAGAGAGTTAGTGATTCTTCTTTTCTATTAAAAGTTAATTAATACTCTTAGTTCTCTTCTGTGATATTTCTTTAGGTTACAAATCTGCTTTTCTTTGCCACCATGGTAAAACTTGGAAAGAAGGGAGTTAAGGCAATTATTGGCAAGGATTTAAGGGGCTTGACCAAATATGAGAAGAAGGTTGTGGAGGCATTGAAGGCAAAGTTGAAGGACAACAATGAGAATGGTCTTGAGTTTGCAAATAAGCAAGCTGCTATAGTCTAAATAAAATTAGACATGCAAGTACTTGCGGTGGGATATTTGTATTCAATGTTGGGTCCCATTGATACATCTTCAAATATATATATATATTTTTTTGAATGGAGTTTTATATTTTATAAAGGTGATGTAATAGAATCTAATAAAAAAGTGATATTGCTATCTTGTTAGCATTTGGTACTTTCTTTTAAGAAATACAGATTCTTGACAAAATGAAGGTACAAATTGTAGAGACAATTTGCTTGTGGGTGTCTACATCTACTGTATCCTAGCATGCTTAATATATATATATATATATATATTTTTTTGGAAGTAAAGCAAGTTCAACAGCTTTAGCTCAAGTTTGTTCACTTTTTTGTCCTCTCCTTGTATGCCTGGTATGCATGGTAATTATCTTTTAAGCTCACTATTTATCATTATGTACTTTTTGCTATGCATACACTTTGAAATGGTGCCTTTGCTTGATGAAGTTCCAACTCTTAAAAGCACCAAAGTTCACCAATTTATTGAGGTATGATTACTCAAAATGGTGAACTTCTGTCACCACACATAACTCTTGGATCCTAAAAATTAGATGTTCCGACATGTTGCAAAGCTGACGAGAATCCAAGTAAGGTTGTATCAAAAGTCATGGGAAGCAACATTAAAGCAATAGATCGTGTCAAATTAACATGGATAAAACTGATGAGAACCTAAGTAAGGTTGTACAAAAAGTCATGGGAAATAATAATGAAGTAATGGATTGCATCAAATTAACATAGGCAAAGCTGGTGAGAATCTAAGTAAGGTTATAGCAAAAGTAAAGAGAAGCAACAATGAAGCAATGAAATGTGTCAAATTAACATAGGCAAAGCTGATTAGAACCCAAGTAAGGTTGTACCAAAAGTCATGGGAAACAATAATGAAGTAAAGGATTGCATCAAATTAACATAGGCAAAGCTGGTGAGAATCCAAGTAAGGTTGTACCAAAAGTAATGGGAAGCAACAATCAATCAATGCATTGTGTCTAATTAATATAGACAAAGCTGATGAGAACCTAAGTAAGGTTGTATCAAAATTCATGGGAAGCAACAATGAAGTAATAGATTGTGTCAAATTAACATGGGCAAAGCTGATGAGAACCCAAGTAAGGTTGTATCAAAATTCATGAGAAGCAACATTGAAGCAATGGATTGTGTCAAATTAATATGAGCAAAGTTGATGAGAACCCAAGTAAGTTTGTATCAAAATTCATGGGAAGCAACAATGAAGTAATTGATTGCATCAAATTAACATAAACAAAGCTAAGGAGAATCCAAGTAAGGTTGTATCAAAAGTCATGAGAAGCAACAATAAAGTAATGGATTGCATCAATTTAACATGGGCAAAGTTGATGAAAATCCAAGTAAGGTTGTACCAAAAGTCATGAGAAGCAACAATGAAGTAATGGATTGTATCAAATAAATATAGGCAAAGTTGATGAAAACCCTAGTAAGGTTGTATCAAAAGTCATAGGAAGCAACAATGAAGCAATGGATTGTGTCAAATTAACATGGACAAAGCTGATGAGAATCCAAGTATGGTTGTATCAAGATCATGAGAAGCAACAATGAAGTAATGGATTGCATCAAATTAACATAAGCAAAGTTGATGAGAATCCAAGTAAGGTTGTACCCAAAGTCATAGGAAGCAACAATGAAGTAATGGATTGTGTCAAATTAACATGGACAAAGTTGATGAGAATCCAAGTAAGATTGTATCAAAAGTCATGGCAAGCAACAATGAAGCAATCGATTATGTCAAATTAACATGGGCAAAGCCGATGAAAACCTAAGTAAGGTTGTATCAAAAGTCATGGGAAGCAACAATGAAGTAATAGATTGCATCAAATTAACATAAGCAAAGCTGAGGAGAATCTAAGTAAGGTTGTATCAAAAGTCATGGGAAGCAACAATAAAGCAATGGATTGTGTCAAATTAACATGGGTAAAGCTGATGAGAACCTAAGTAAGGTTGTACCAAAAGTCATCAGAAACAATAATGAAGTAATGGATTGCATCAAATTAACATAGGCAAAGCTGGTGAGAATCCAATTAAGGTTATACCAAAAATAATGAGAAGCAACATTGAAGCATAGGATTGTGTGAAATCAATATGGGCAAAGCTGATGAGAACCCAAATAAGGTTGTACCAAAAGTCATGGGAAGCAACAATGAAGCAATGGATTACATCAAATTAACATAAGCAAAGCTGATGAGAACCTTAGTAAGGTTGTACCAAAAGTCATAGGAAGCAACAATGAAGCAATGGATTGTGTCAAATTAATATAGGGAAAGCTGATAAAAACCTAAGTAAGGTTGTATCAAAAGTCATAGGAAGCAACAATAAAGTAATGGATTGCATCAAATTCACATGGGCAAAGTTGATGAAAACCCAAATAAGGTTGTACCAAAAGTCATGTGAAGCAACAATGAAGTAATGGATTGCATCAAATTAACTTAAACAAAGTTGAGGAGAATCCAAGTAAGGTTGTATCCAAGGTCATGGGAAGCAACAATGAAGTAATAGATTGCATCAAATTAACATGGGCAAAGTTGATGAGAATCCAAGTAAGGTTGTACCAAAAGTCATGAGAAGCAACATTGAAGCAATGGATTGTGTCAAATTATTATGGGCAAAGCTGATGAGAACCCAAGTAAGGTTGTATCAAAGTCATGGGAAGCAACAATAAAGCAATGAATTGTATCAAATTAATATGGACAAAGCTGATGAGAACCCAACTAAGGTTGTATCAAAATTCATAGGAAGCAACAATAAAGTAATGGATTGTGTCAAATTAACATGAGCAAAGTTGATGAGAACCTAAGTAAGGTTGTACCAAAAGTCATGAGAAGCAACATTAAAGCATAAGATTGTGTCAAATCAATATGGACAAAGCTGATGAGAACCTAAGTAAGGTTGTACTCAAAGTCATGGGAAGCAAAAATGAAGCAATGGATTGTGTCTAATTAACATGGGCA